AAAAAAAAAAAAAAAAAAAAAAAAAAAAAAAAAAAAAAAAATCAGACTTCTATTTCTTAAACCAAACAATGAGAGTATTAGATTTAAAAGAGAGAGAGAGCAGGAGCAAAAAACCAGGAGCCAGAAGACCTGCATCTGACCCTATCTTATTAGATAGCTTATGTGCCCCTAAGTTTGCCCATGAGCCTGTTTCCCCACCTAGTAAAAAACATAGTTGGACTAAAGGACTTCACAGTGAGGACACAGCCATTCCCATGACAGGCCATGTCATGTCCCATGACATGATTCTCTGCTACAGCTGTCACCATATCCTGGAAATCATCAAAATCATAAAAGCCTCTTTTTCTTAACTCAGCAAGAATTCCTTCAAAGTTTTTGGTAATGTACTTTCGAAGCAAGCCCTCCCAAATAATGGGGTGATGATTCCCACTGGAGTTTACCTTCCCAGTGACCTGAGGGTAACTGTATCTCTTGTTTTTGGGGCAGGGTAGTAACAATGGTGAAGGACTCAGAACCCTGCTACGGGTCTAAGATGGTGCCTTGCTTTGTAGCTGTCATCCTACCCAAGCCGCTGTTATTTGTCAGCAGGTCACATAAATTCACATGCCAAGGATCCGGTCACGTGTGCTGAATAAGATGCACTAATACGTGTATTTTCTTCTTTCCTCCCAATGGTCAAAATCCAATTTCTATGCAAATGCTTTAGTCAGAACATTTATATTTTTAACAAGTATAAGACTTCAAATTAAATAGGAAGATTTGAAATCACTATTATAAATTGCACTGAATTTCTCTGGTACATAAGTGGTTTATCTCATTCTTACCTATTAAGACTCACTTAAGGGCTTAAAGACATTTCTTCCGAGTCTCCCAAGGATTGGCAAAAGCCGTAGAAACTAAGGCAAATCGCCAGTTCACTTCCTAATGGCCCAGGAAAGAGATGGGAGTAGAGCTTCCTTGCTTGGTGCCCACAGTTCATAATGCATCAACTTCGTACGTGTGTTAACTGGCCTATTCGAGGTTATTTTACAGAAGAAATGGTTCAATTTGGCCAACTATTTTTATTTTGGGATAAGTAGGTTCTCTATGGATTCTGACAGGTCAGACAAGACCTTGTAAATAACGACAAGTCCCCAGATGTATGTACAGCTGGTTTCCACACTTTCTTCAAATGTCTCCTTAGGTATCATCTTTGAGAGAAGTATTCTCTGCCCCATATAAATGCAGCTCTTTTATTCTGCTTTAATTTTGTTCCGACTTTAATTTTTTTCACATATTAGATTTTTTGTGTATACCAAGGAATTTCTGGGTCACATGGTAGTTTGTTAATTCATTCGTTTTTTTTCTTTCTTTTCTTTTCGGAGATGGTCTAGCTTTGTCACACAGGCTGGAGTGTGGTGGTGCAATCTCAGCTCACTGCAACCTCAACCTTCACCTCCCAGGCTCAAGCCATCCTCCCATCTCAGCCTCCCACATAGCTGGCACTACAGACGTGCTCTATCATACCCAGCCAGTTTTTGCATTTTTTGTAGAGATGGGGTTTTGTCATGTTGCCCAGGCTGTTTTTAAATGAGGCTCAAGCAATCCTCCTGCCTTGGCCTCCCAAAGTGCTGGGATTACAGTCATGAGACACCACATCTGGCCTACTTTTAATTTCTTTAGGAACCTCCATGCTGTTCTCCAAAATGCCTGCATTAATGATCCACATTCCCATCAACAGTGTTCAAGGGTTCCCTTTTCTCCACACCTAGGCTGACACTTGTCACCTCCTGCCTTTTTTATAATAGCCATCCTAACAGGTGTGAGGTGGTATCTCATGATTTGCATTTCTCTTATGACTGATAACACTGAACACCTTTTCAAGTACTTGTTGGTCATTTTAATGTCATCTGGAGAAATATCTATTCAGGTAGATAGATGACTCTCATTTCCAGCTAACAGCGTTTCTCAAAAAGGAAAGCACCTGCCTGAGCTACCTCTGGACTACATAGGTATTCATGTCAGTAGGTCATGGGGGCACTTACTGCTAGAGAAGGTGGTTTCTTTCGGACTGGATGACATCGGCTGTGCACAGAGTTGACAAAGGCAGTCTCTCCCATTGAATGTGACTCGGTCTCCGGGTGGAAACGGGCGCCTGGAGACAGAAAGACATAGCCCTCAAGGTTATTGCAGCAATTTCATTCCTTTTCCTTATTCCTTCTGCTTGCTGCCCTCCGGTGCTCATTTATTTCTTGGAGAAGCAGCAGCCAACATGTCTGAAACACAGTCATAACCAAGCCAGCCAGCTGGAGACAGTCCAAACAAATAAATGTGCCTCATTTTGAGAAGGGGAATGTACTGGTTCTAAGGGCAACCAGGTAGTAAAATGGGATGATTTACCTCCACTCATTAGCGAAGAGATGTTCCAGCAAGTCACTTAGCAAGGCACACAGAACAGTAAATTTCCAAATGGAAAGTCCTTCATGAAAAAATACTTTAAATACCATAAATTCCCAGTGAAGCTTAAGGCCCCGCCCCAGGAGAACTGGCTGCAGGTCAAGCAATAAGAAATAAGTCTTTCAGTTCCCTGGGACTGTGCCTAGAACTCTGTGATGATTATGCAGAATTAGATTTTGCTGGACATCTACATGGGTGAACTGAATGTTTCGTGGTACTGGAGACCCAGTCCCTTATAAACTGGGAGAAATAGGACAGGCTGTAAATATCCGTTTAAGAATTCATATTAGCTTCATTTCAGAAAGATAATTTCTCTTCATAGCAGGTGTTCATCAATAGCAGCATATTTGGCAAAAACATTGCCTTCTGCATGTAGGTGATCGGTTTCTTCTCCCAGGTGACCAGGCAGATGCAGACAGCCTTTTAAAAAAGTCAATAATTAGTAGACATATGACAGTTTCTATGCCCACTCACTTGCACTTGGCCCATGTGCATAATCTCCATCAACGTGATTTTTCAAATGTGTGATGCTGTCAATTAGGAAATGTGAAACTCACAAGCCGAACGTCACCACAAATCTGAGTCAGAAGACATTACTTAAGAGCAAGCAGCAGCTTTTGGACATTCATTTTTACTCCACAGCTGCTACGTCCCCTTTAAGTTGCCCCTTCGTTGCCTAACAATTGGCAATTAACTGTAATAAACGCATAGAGGTAAATTTGGACTTAAAACGACCCCACAAATGTGGCTGGTTCCAGTCATCACGGAGAGTTTTAAATTCTTACACCCTTACACTTCAGAAGTCCTGAGGACAGTTGGTGTCCTCTCCACATGCGGTGCTATGTCACTTTCCGCGGTACAGCGAAGGCTCGGAGAGGTGGAGTAACATGCCTGGATTGACCAGCTAGGGAGATCAGGCCACAGCCAGGTGCAGCTGGCATCCACCAACTCAGAACTTGCTTTAAGAATAAAAACATCACACTCTGCTGGATGCCAGTCACCCTACTGCTTCAAACTCATTAGCTAAACCTCAACAAATCTTAAATCTGCTCTGGAAGGAAGGTGTCAGGAAATCAAGGACCCACTCAACACAACAAGCACAGGTTCTTTTGCTTCTGACCATGCCAGGCCTGGACCTGGACACAGCATTTGAAGAGGGACTCAGGCTCCATGGCTGACCCTGAACTTGCAGGACCCTGAGAATAAATGCCTTTTACATGTTACATCCCCCAGAGGCACCTCACTTACCCCCCTCAAGCCCAAGGCTTCCTTCCCATCCAAGCTTATTATCATTTTAGACCCGAGTCTCACAGAGATCCTTTATGGGACAAGCCAGAATCCAGTTCTCAACTTGGGCCAGGCCTTCTGAAGTGTGTGTTTTGTTGTTTTGTAAATGGCCCATTTCAGGAATTTCCTCCCTCCCTATATCCTCTGCCCTTACTGGATAAATTCCTTCTTTTATTTGCATAATAGAAAGAGACCTGGATTTAGAGTTAGAAAACTTGAGTTTAAACCATTAATTTGGGAATGTCCCTTAAACTGTGTGCCTCAAAGTCACTCTAGAGATATTAACTCCTGGTTCCCTTCACAGAATTGTTAAGAGGGTTAAATTAACTTCTCTATGAATATAACTTATTAACTCTAAAGGAGGCCCCCAATTCAAGCAGAATTATTGTCATTCAGCAGCAGGAGAGGCAGTAGTAACAGTTGGTACTTCTTTGCTGCCTCAAATGTCCAGGGACAGGGTCATAGTTAATAAATCTTTGTATATCATTATACCAACTCCAAAGCATTGACCTCTCAGGGTCAGGATCAGAGTTTACTACGAACAGAGCCTTCCAGCCTGGCTGAGTAACATACTTGAGAACCCTCCAGAAACCACTAAATTAGCATGCAGGTTTTGGGGGAAAATAGCCTAGAAATGGATCTTTTTAGAGAGAGACCTCCATCTCTAGGCCATTCCCACCCCATCCAGGAGACTCCAGTGATCAGCCAGGCTTGAAAAATCAATCGCATCTAGTTCACAGCTTCTCATTCTAAGGCGGAGGCAATTGTCTTGAAAAAGCTAATTCACGTAGGTCTCAACACAATCTGGGAAGTAAGACTAGGACTTGAGGCTCAGTGCCGGCCCAGGACTCTTAGCCAGGCTGTGTACCACAGCCTGAAAAGGGAAAGATCAGGAAAGAACTCTGCTTTTGATTAAATACAGAAAAATATTCAGTTCATTCATCCGGAATTTTAAAATTATGATTCTTAAAAAATGAAATGGAGAAATGAGTGAATACATAGCTATAAAGATATTATGAATGTTTTATGTATTGTGATTTATTTATCAGTATTATCTTGTTAGTTAATCACACAATATTGAATCTACCCTTCTAGAGCTTACATCTTTCTGGCTTAGAAACATAAAATGCTGAAAAGCAGACAACATGTCTCCTCTGAACTGGGATTTTTAGAAAGGCATAGCAAATAGATCACCACTTCAAAAGGCACTGGATTGCCAAATTGCCAAATTAGAATGGATCAATAAAGCAGCTGACCCTTGGTGGTGATTCCTAGTTACAGGAATCCAACCTATCTTAGTTTTATAACATGCAGCCCTCAAAACACAAAAACCACAAAAAAACCACGTTTTCGGGCTGGGCGCGGTGGCTCAAGCCTGTAATCCCAACACTTTGGGAGGCCAAGGCGGGTGGATCACGAGGTCAAGAGGTCGAGACCATCCTGGTCAACATGGTGAAACCCCATCTCTACTAAAAATACAAAAAATTAGCTGGGCATGGTGGCATGTGCCTGTAATCCCAGCTACTCAGGAGGCTGAGGCAGGAGAATTGCCTGAACCCAGGAGACGGAGGTTGCGGTGAGTCGAGATCACGCCATTGCACTCCAGCCTGGGTAACAAGAGCGAGACTCCATCTCAAAAAAACAAAAAACAAACAAACAAACAAAAAAACCACGTTTTCTCACTCACACTACTCTCTGGCTGATCATTTTATTTTATTTTTATTTTTAATTTTTTTTTGAAACGAAGTCTCGCTCTGTCACACAGGCTGGAATGCAGTGGTGTGCGCTCAGCTCACTGCAGCCTCTGCTTCCGGGTTCAAGCGATTCTCCTGCCTCAGCCTCCCAAGTAGTGCACCACCACGCCCAGCTAATTTTTTTGAATTTTTAGTAGAGAGAGGGTTCAACACATTGACCAGGCTGGTCTCAAACTCCTGATCACTCAGGTGATCTGCCTGCCTCAGCCTCCCAAAGTACTGGGATTGTAAGGGTGAGCTATCATGCCCAGACTGACTGATCATTTTAATCAAGCTGGTTTGCACTATTAAGATTTAACCTTGGTAGATGACAGATATGTAGAGAGCAGGGGTTGGCAAATATTTCCCCCTAAAGATGAGGCTATATATTTTTTAAGGCTTTGCAGACCATAAGGTCTCTGTCACAACGACTCAACTCTGCTGCCGCAGTGTGGAAGCAGCCATAGGCCACACACAACAGTGGGAGTGGCTGCGTTCCAATAGAACTTTATCCACAAAAACAGGTATTGGGCCTAATTCAGCCCATGGGACACAGTTTGCCACCCCCTATTATAGATTAAAGAGACCGTTTTAAACACACACACATGCCTAAGAATTTATACTTCCAAATAAGCTTTATCCTTCTAAGCAGTTATACCATTACCCCGATATTTTTATTACCCAAAAATGTTTTGAGAGCCAGAGCTGCTTCAGAATTGGTTTCAGTCTTCTTAAAATCAGTCATATTACTTTGCAGAGGACACCACGCATACGGTTTTCAACTAATCTACTTTTTTACTAAGACTGACAGATAGTACAGTCAGAAAGAAGTCTAAGGATAAGACTATGTGCTACTCAAACCAACAGTATATAATCCAAGCTCTAACAGCCCCAACCAGCATTTCTCTGTTGGAGGAAGCTGTAGGCTTTGGAGAGATAAGCTCACTTACTTGCAGATAGTACAAGCAAAGCAATTGGGATGGTAGGTCTTGCCCAGAGCGGTCACGACTTCTCCTTCCACGAACTCCCCACAGCCATGGCAGCGTGTCCCATACATCCGCTGGTAGTCCAGCGTGCAGAGATACTCTCCGTTCTTTATGAAGAAGCCCCCTTGTGCCAGGTCACAGCCACACACTGTAGAAAGAAAAGTTCACATCTGGTCATTATCCGCCACACTGCTGAGCAGCACTCCTACTGAATACTGACTGGTTGCTTACTCTATGATCTCAATGGTTTAGGGCTAGGGAGGGGACTGGTACAAAGAGCTATTTATTATTGGGCTATGACCCTCCCTTTGGGAGCGATGCAATAGCTCATACAAGTAAAATCCACTGGTTAGGTCTCAATGGCTTTTGTGATATGTCTAAGATTTGGAGATAATCAAACACCCTTTGAGAGAAAGATACCCTTGGTTCAGGCTGTCTCAAATATGAACAAAGGTGTCCCTGGCAGTGTGCTATTTAGGAAAGGTGCCCACTGCCTGCCCACACAACTGCACGGTTTGGGCCAAGATTGTTATGGAGTTGAGTAATAAATTTCCATTATACCAAAAGCAGTAGCTGGAATTTCCGATAGCTATTTTTTTCACACTCTGGAACTACTTTCCCACTGCTATGAAAAATTCAGATGTTTCATTTTCTCTTTGTGCAGTAAATAGAATGAGCCAATTATTTATATGTTATGGAGAGATAAAAAATGAACAGGCAAAGGAGGAAAGACCTGTCATTTGGCTGCTTTATTTTATCTGGATTTTGGCATCTCTTTCTGACGGTACAGCTGTGGATTAGGGAGATGGTGCAAACAGGCAGTGGGAGCTTGGGCCTGGTCTGCGTGTTCAGACAAGACCAGAGCAGGTCACAACAACTTGTCTGCAAATAAAACCCAAAGTAGTCCCTGACAGTAAAGACTCTTCTCTGCCAAATGGCTGAGAAGCAACAGCCAAAGCTGGAAATCTCTGACCTTACCCTCGCTAGCCCCAAGGTCAACTGATTCCAATTTACAATTCCTTAGGCAAGGAATCTAGGATTCTTCTTGATTATTTGGTACTGAGTTGGGGTGGAGACAAGGTGAGTTCAATCAATAAACTGCTTTCCTAAGGACCTGCTGGAATGCTTACAGGATTCATCTGCTGAGTTCCCATGACTCCTTAATGCATCTAGATGAACTAGGGCTGAGCAACAGGAAGGTTCTGATGAAAGTCACAACTCCCCCACCTTCAGTCAGGACCCTTCACTAACTACAAGCTATTGAAGACATTCGAGGTGACCCGGAACCCACAAACAAGCTTTCCATTGTGGATTCACCAGTCTTTGTTTAGATCAACACTCCACAGCCATGACCTTCTTCTTTGCAATTTACTATTAAGTAATCCAACATTATGGCCTGAGTCCATCATGCCTGAAACTGACCACCCTATAAATACTCCTGTGATCATATTATCTGGAAAACAGCTCGTTCGCCACCTGCTGCCTCCTCTCACCTACCTGCCAGCCTCTCCTCTGTCCCCACTGTTCTCCCACCTGCTTCTTCCTCTCTCAATGGGTCCTGTGGGTCAGGGGAACCCACATATGGACTAGCCTTGTTCTGATTGAAAATTCCTTCAGCAATAATATGCAGTCTGGGCGTAGAGGGTCAGAGAACTTTAGAGTGTTTTCTTCAATATCTGTCTATGTACATATCTTACTTTTCTACAAGATGGCAAGGTATTTGAAGGGTTAGAATCTTCTTTTGATTCTTCTTCAGGAACCTAATTGTATCTAATATAAAATAGGAAACACAATGTATGAAAAAATTGAATCCTGCCTGAAACTTGGCAGGCTCCCACTGATTTCACTGCTCAGTGACATCAAGTTCTGATGACTGTTATTTTTCCAAACTTAGGATTTCTCAGAGCCATGAGAAGTGACAAAACAACACATTCGGATTACTGGTAATTCTCTAAATTTTCTCCTCCAGTCACCTATGGTTTAAAAATGCACAGTCTTTACACAAAGATCTGGTGTCAATAGGGTAATCTGGTGGCAATACACAAAAACAGATTGAGACAGTTTCAAAGCTAATTCTAAATGTTTAGAAATTCTTTGTATTTATTGCTTTCTTAGGGCACCTCTCTGCAGCCTTTTCCAGATCATATGGTTTTATGAAATTGACATCTACTATCCTTTATTAATAAAGTCCTAGTTTCTATGAACATAATGTAGCCTTAAAAAATGAATTCTTAGCACTACTGAGAGATGCTATGCGACATTTAAACTGTGCCCTATTATGATTTTGATTTGGCTATTTCCTTAAATTCAAAGTAGTGCTCAAGGTGGCGTACCAAACCACATCATTATTTCTAGTAGTTTATACAAGGAAACCAGTGTTTGATGAGACTCACAGAGGCAGGTGTTCTTAAAGGCATATACAACAATCAGTGAGAAGGGCAGCCTATGATGCCAATACCTAAAAGATACTTAACATGATTACATTTGCTAAGAATGGACCAGATGTCACAATTTCAGACTCTTGCCTCTCCAGCCTCCCCAAGCTTTACTGTCCTGTTTTTTCTCCTCTGTCTACTCCTTCTCAGTCTCGGCAGCCAGATCCCTAAATGCAGGTCACTCCCATGGGTGCCATCTCCTTCCTCTGTAATCTAAGGAACTCCCTGGGAACAGATCTCATCCACTCTCATAGCCTCACTTATGACTTTATGCAAGGGATGCTCAAATCAATAATCTCTCTCTGTGATGTCTTCCCCAAGCTTTAGACGCCGACTTGTAGCTGTCTGATGGGCACAGACAGACCCCATGCCTATCTCAAACCCAGCATTTCAAAACACACCCTATTCTCACAGTTTCTCTGCCATCCTCCTCATAAAACCTTCTGCTATTCTTTTTCTGTTCCCTTTCTCATTACAATTCCTTGCCTAAGGAATTGTAAATTGGAATCAGCTGACCTTGGGGCTAGTGAGGGTAAGGTCAGAGATTTCCAGCTTTGGCTGTTGCTTCTCAGCCATTTGGCACAGAAAAATCTTTACTGTCAACTCTTACATCAACATCAACATTTTCTTTTCTCTTTTTTTTCTTTGAGACAGAGTTTTGCTCTTGTTGTCCAGGCTAGAGTGCAATGGCATAATCTCAGCTCACTGCAACCTCCACCTCCCAGATTCAAGCAATTCTCCTGCCTCAGCCTCCCGAGTAGCTGGGACTACAGGTATGTGTTACCAGGCTCAGCTAATTTTGTATTTTTAGTAGAGATGGGGTTTCACCCTGTTGGTCAGGCTGGTATCAAACACCTAACCTCAGGTGATCTGCCCACCTCAGCCTCCCAAAGTGCTGGGATTACAGGCACGAGCCACTGCACCCGGCCAATATCAATATTTTCAACTGCACCAAATCCAACCCATTTCCCCAATGAGGGGTTTCTTATTATTATTATTCTTTTTATGAGATGGAGTTTTGCTCTTTGTTGCCCAGGCTGGAGTGCAGTGGTATGATCTCGGCTCACTACAACCCCTGCCTCCTGGGTTCAAGCAATTCTCCTGTCTCAGTCTTTCAAGTAGCTGGGATTACAGGTACCTGCCATCATGCCCGGCTAATTTTTGCATTTTTAGTAAAGACAGGGTTTCACCATGTTGGCCAGGCTGGTCTCGAACTCCTGACATCAGGTGATCTGCCCACCTTGGCCTCCCAAAGTGCTGGGATTACAGGCATAAGCCATCGCGCCCAGCCCAATGAGGTGTTTCTTGGATCCATTCCCTCCTCTGCCTTCTTGCTGTCACTACTCAAAACCTGGTCTTCAGCACTGCTCTGCTGTAGTAAAACATTTTTAAAAACAGCGTTTGTATTGGCAGAAAAAGAAAAACAACAGGGAACAATCTAAACTTTCATTAGCAGAAAAATAGTTGAATAAATTATGCTATGTCCAGTCTAGGAGTTGGTATTAAAAAGAATGAATTTAGCCCTCTGGGTTGTGGATGTTGATAATCCTCTAGGTTGTAGACATTGATCTGTCTGTGATATATTGTTAAGCGAAAAGAACAAATGCCACAGAGTAAACAATTTTGATAATTCTATTTTTAGATATGTCTAGTTATGTTTTTATGAAAAGGGGAAAAGTTACAAACAGAACCACTAAATTGGTTCTCTCAGGAGGATCAAGAACTATTTTTTCTTCATATAGTCATGTGTCAGTCCATTTTGTAACTTTATTTTTAATTGTGACAAAATACATATAACAAAGAATGTACCATCTGAATCACATTTAAGTGTACAGGTCAGTGGCATCAGGTACATTCCCATTGTGTGTACCCATCACTGCCACGCATCCACCGAACTCTTTCCATCTTGCAAAACTAGAACTCTGCACCCACTAAAATCCCTATTCCCTCTTCCTCCAGCCCAGGGCAACCCCATATACTTTCTGTCTCTATGAATTTAACTCCTCTAGGTTCCTCATATAAATGGATGTTCACCTTTAATAATAATAATAAGAAAAATTATCCAAAACTTATAAACAAGGTAAAGGAAGGAAAGCATGTTGTCTAAATGTCATACTGGAGCACTGTTCAACAGCTCATACGAGGATTATTTCATTATCCAGGGGGTCCAGATCTGTGTTGGACAAGCCCTTTCCTATTGATGAAAGGCCCAGACTTTATAAGTTAATGTTAACTTTTATATCCTTGTCTAGTAGAGATGCAGATGACTTCTATCTGGTTTTATTATTGTGTTGAACCATGAATCAGTTTTACATCTAGCCCAGCCATCTTATTCTGACATTCCTTTTTGAATGTCTTTATAACCCACTTTTAAATTTTATTTTATATATACATAGAGAGAGAGACAGAGGCAGGGTCTTGCTCTGTTGCCCAGCCTGGAGTGCAGCGGCATGATCATAGCTCATTGCAGCCTTGAACTCCTGGGTGTAAGAAAACCTCCTGCCTCAGCCTCCCAAGTAGCTTAAGACTACAAGCATGTGCCACCATGCCCAACTAATTTTTAAATTTTTTTGTATAGACAGGCTGCTTTCTTGCTATGTTACACAGGCTGGTCTTGAACTCTTGGCCTCAAGTGATCTTCCTGTCTTAGACTCCCAAAGTGCTGGGATTATAGGCATGAGCCACTGCACCCAGTCAATCCAACTTTAGTTCC